TATGTATACATATATATATATATGTATACATATATATATATATATATATATATATATGTATACATATATATATATATATATATATATATATATATATATATATATATATATATATATACATATACATATATATATATGTATACATATATATATATATATATATATATATATATATACATACATGCACACACACACACATGTATGTATGTATGTATGTACATATATATATATATATATATATATGTATACATATATATATATATGTGTATACATATATATATGTATACACATATATATATGTATACATATATATATATATGTATACATATATATATATATGTATACATATATATATATATGTATACATATATATATATATGTATACATATATATATATATATATATATATATATATATATATATATATATATACATATACATATATATATATGTATACATATATATATATATATATATATACATACATGCACACACACACACATGTATGTATGTATGTATGTACATATATATATATATATATATACACACATATGTATATATATATATATATATATATATATATATATATATATATATATATATATACACATATGTATATATATATATATCCACAGCTCAGCTTTCTCTTTCCTGAGGGCTGATCTTGGAGATGTTTCCAAGCAGAAGAGTCAGAAGTTTTGCGTAGGAGTGAGTCCAGCCTCCCGTCACTGTTTCCAGCTTGGTGACGCTGACTAGCAGCTTTCTGAGGTCAGTATTTAGGTCGCCCTGCTCCACCAACACTCTCCGGGCCGTTTTTTGGGAACACCCTTCCTCCACCCTCTCGGGGAATTCTTGTTTTCCATTTCGGGCTGTTTTTACTCCATCTGCTCTCTGACTCAACACTGACTTCCTCAACTCAAATGACATTTTTTGCATAAAGCAGAAGCTGCTCTTTTCCATGGAATCACCCCCTCCACCCTCGCCTTCACACACACACACTTGTTTTCCGGTGCATCCCTCTCTACGAGCCCTCTCCTGATTGGTTTAAATCCACTCACTCGTCCGGTTGACTCCTGCAGGAACGGCTCCTCTTTTCCAGTGAAGCGGCTTCGGTGCTGACTCCCTAACAGTTGTTTACACTCTGATAGTCAAATCATGTTTTCACACTCTCCATGCTCAGGGTTTGCCCTAAAGCTGTGTTAGAGTCTGATGCAAACAAACTCCCTAATCCCAAAGTACACGTAAAACATAATTAAACTAAACATCCAACTGTTTATTTATTTATTTTGCTCCTCAGCATTCAAGAACTTTAGACCATCTGCTAGTCAGGCAGTGGGAAACATGGATGGTGGTTTCCATGGGGACTTGCATCCACCAGTGGAGCTGCATGAACAGATCTCTGCATCTTGGCTCGTTGAACACATCTTTTACAGTTTTTATGCCAGGATCTTCACAGCTTGGACCAGAAAGTGGACATTTCAGGCTGTTGCTGCTTTGAGTCCCTTAAAAATGTCCGAAGGGTTGGGGTTAGCTTGGTCACCTGTTTTATTTGTAGGGGTCATCCACCTACTTCCTTTCCGACACACCTGACCGTATTTTCATTACAGATGTCGTGCCTGAGTTCCTGTTCTGTTCATGATGGTTTTAGTTTCTGTTCAGGCACTGATCTGGAAACGGACCAGCAGAACCAGTGAGGCCTCCAGGTTCTGGGGCCTTCAGTAGATCACATCAACGCATTTAAAGTCCCAGTAGTCATCATCCACTGGAGAGATTTATCTCTACATCTGACCCATCCACGCCGGGAGCGGTGAGCTGCAGCAGTGGCTGCGCTCGGGAACCGTTTGGTGGTTTAATCCCACAATCCAACCCCTTAAAGCTGAGAGTCAAGCAGGGAGGCGTTGGGTCCTGTTTCTAGTATGACCCAACTTGAACCTTGACCTCCCAGTCCCAGGACAGACACTCTACCAGTTGGCCTGAGAAGCTTAAATCCATTTAGTAAAATCTGCACATAGACTCTTTAATAACTGGGCTTGTAATAACATTTTCCTGTTTCACTTGTGATGTTTGTTGTGATTGAAATGATTGTAATTCTTGTTTGTTTTTGTGTTGTGTGGAATGTGGGCGTGGCATTCTGCAGATTTGATCATGTAGATGTTATAGAAGGTTGCTCCTGGTGACCTGGTGACCTGGTGATGTAAACACCCTCCCAGGAACTTTCCTTTTTTAGTTTGGAGCTGCTGCAGCATGAGGTCATTCCCTAAACTCTAGTCTGACATCATCTGAGATCATACATAACACACACCACACACACGCACACACGCATGCACAAACACACACACACACACACACACACACACACAGTCAGCCTCAGTCAGCTGATCAGTTTGCAGGAAGCAATTCAGTCTATTGGCAGCGGGAGGGAAGGCTGCTCTCATGTGATCAGTGAGTCAGCAGTTAGTGATGACATCATCCTACACACACACACACACACACACACACACACACACACACACACACAGCTCTATGAGGTCTCTGTGATTGGATGAGCCAAACTGAGCTGGGATCAGCTGACCAATCAGAGTCACTGGAGTGAGCGGGATCACATGACATAACCGTCAGCTGATTGTGTAATCCAAACACACACACACACACACACACACACACACACACACACACACACACACACACACACACACACTCTCTCTGGAGGACTTTCTGCTTGTCGGCTGCAGAGATAAACACGTTTTTTTGTTTTAATCAGAAGTTAAATTATGATAATTTACTGAAACAAATAAAAGAGAAGAAAAATCAGACACCAAACAAGTCCCACGTTTTCATCACAACACTTAACGATGAAACCTATAAAATGCTTTGTTTTGAAATTCTGCTGGATATTTCCCTCTGCCTTCCTTTTCTGAGCATGAACTCTTCATAGTTTTTGTTGAGTAGCTATTTAGGTCATTTTGAAGCGTGTTTCTGCGTAAGAATGCATAAATAACTCATTGTCCTCGCAGAAAGCTTCACGAATGCCCTCTGTTCAGAGAAATAGCGTTGTCAGTCCTCAGGACTGATGGGCTAACAGCTAGTCAGCGTGCTAACAAGACCAAATCAGGTCAGAGCCACAGATCTGCCATCTTTTTGTCTTTTGACAAATGCTTGAAAAATGCAAAAAATCAGTTAATAGTCGTGAATCTGCTCTTTTCTCTCCCCAGGAGGCGGAGGAGCTGTTTGAGAGACGAGGAAGAGACGTAATATTACACCAATTTATTGTTATTTTAAAATCAGTCCCAGTAAATTGGAATTATGCATCATCATGGTGATTTTTACCAAAAAGTTATAAATTCCTGCTAAACTCAACCCCTTGAATGTGTCAGAAGGGGTTCATTTAGCTGCTGCTATTCACTAATGGAAATACCAATAAAGTGGCTGCATTTAGACTAGCTGTTAGCCCATCAATTCTGAAACTCCTCCGCTGTTCATTAAGCTATCTACATATAAGACAGCTATCAGCTGTATGTCCCTTTAACTTTGAAATAAACTAAAAACGAACATCTGGGAGCTTCAAAGAGATGAAAAATAACAATTAAACCTTAAAGGGACTTTACAGAGTTTTGAATTTTTATGCTCGCGATTGCCCCCTCAGGTCAAAAGCGTAACGGCAGCTTCAATAGTAGGCTCGTGCACGAGGCACGCATGCTGTACGTGCACACTCCTTAATGAAAATAACAGCTGAGACAGTCCTGTGTGTGTGTGTGTGTGTGTGTGTGTGTGTGTGTGTGTGTGTGTGTGTGTGTGTGTGTGTGTGTGTGTGTGTGTGTGTGTGTGGCCCGGAGGACAGAGGACAGGAGAACGTGCAGCTAATTAATTAAATAATGTGGTTCTGTACCTTTCTCTTCAGCACAGCCGACAAAGGTTTATGATGGGTCAGTCCTCCTGCATGCTCACATCATTCCCTTCCCTTGCTTGAAAAATTGTTCCAAAATGAAAGTTGAACCCACATCTTTTTTATCTGTGAATTCAATGCCGTTCGGCGAGTCTCAAATAAAAATTTGGGCATCTTACTGTAAAAAAATATACCATTAATGTTAAAAAGAAACTCTAAATAAACTATGTTCACACCCAGAATCAAACCCAGGTCTTCTGCATGAGAGTCTGACGTCTTACAAGGTGAGCTACACTCTAGTAACAATCACAGTATCTGTAACTTTTATATCCTTGATGACAGCTGAAACAACGTCAAACCAAAGAACGGTTCGGAGTGAAAATGGCTATTTTGTTGCTAATTAGCAGGAAATATCTAGAAGAAAGTTCTACAGAAAGTAGCTAAGGGTCCTCAGAAATGTAGCTAGCTTTGTCACTAGGCGTTAGGAACAGCGACAAAGTGGCACTGCCTCTCTCTCTGCTGCTAAAGCTACGGATAGCAAATGCTACGGGCGATGCCTGAGCGTGAACGCGCATGAAGCAGCCCGCTCGACCCGAGCATCTCTCTTTTTCTGTGATTTTACAGAAAAACAGGCAATCACAGTAAAAATGCCAGGGCTCATTCTACAGGACCAGGGCATTGCAGGAGAATGTATGAAGAAGACATTTATTATTTCTATACATGTTTTGGCTGTCACACTTCCATAATGTCCCTTTAAATCAATCAATCAGATTTTATTTATAAAGCGCTTTTCAAGCAAAGTCCTTTACAAAATGACCCCAAATTCCCATAACAGTTTAAAAACATTAACACACACACACACACACACACACAAGTAAAAATTTATATTTGGCTGAGTCCAGATGAGCCAAGTAAGGTAAGGCAAGGAAACGCCATCAGAGGAGCCGTCTGCCCCGGCAGCATCAGGTCTTCCACACTAAATCAGGGAGCTGAGAGGAGGGGGAGCATAGACGCCCACCTCCACTTAACACTACCTGTAGAGCGCCCAGGAAGCTACAGTCGACCACCTCCCCCGGGGCAGAGCCCCCCCCCCCCCCCCCCCCCACACACACACACAGAGAAAACACTGGATGAAATGAAGTGAATGTCAGATTTAAATCAGCTGGACTTTCTGTTTGGATTGATCTGAACCTGACGCTGCTGTTGGAGCCAGTCAGGAGCAGCAGAGTCATCAACAACAGTGATTCCATCATTAAACAATCAAACAAAAGCTTTAAAACCTCCGTAAAGAAGCAAAGGCACAGACCTTCCCAGCTAATCTGTGTCAAGTCCAACAGATGAACTCTAAACTCGGTAATCCTCATGTTTGCAGCATCTAGCAGCGTAGATCTCACAGGTTCACCCAGAACGAGCTTCAAGCTCATCACAGAACCGGAACCAGAGTTAGCTCAGTGTGCATGTTTGCTAACCTGATGAGTTGGAGATGGAAGCATAAATACAGCTTCAGCAGAAAAATTAAATCCTGTTTCTGCTCGAGTTTCAAGCTTCAGCGTGAAAAAACTGCTAAGATGCAGGAAGTGGCTGAAAGTTCATATATTACCTAAACAGGTGCAGATGGGCCGGATGGATGTAGGTCACCACTTATTTGTGACATTAACCTGGAAGGGTCAGTCCTGACACCTGGAGCCAGATGTGTCTGCCTTCACAGTAAAACCTCAGAAAGCAGCTTTTTAACGGGCTGAAAGAGTAAAAATGCTGTTAGCTTGTTTCTGATTCTGTCCCAGAGTTCTGAGCACAAAGAAAATAAAATCAGAAAATGAACAAAAATGTTTGAATTCATTCAAATAAGAGAAAACTAACAACAGATGTCTAAATAACACAATATGGTTTGGGTTAGGAACTCCGGGATCTGTTAGAAGCATCGACATATACACATATGGACAATGGGTTTCCATAGACTCCAGTAACACGTTTTTGAAGATAAATGGGAGGTGGCCACCACCGCCATTTTGACCGTGTCACAGGTTCCGTCAAGCCCAGACAATTCCATAAAAGGGAAGAGAGGTGAAGCTGAGGGTGGGGCTGTAAGGCTGGGATCAACTGACGACACCCGGTCGAACTAGCTACAAGCTAACCTGAAGCTAACCCAAAGCTAACGCAGAGGTGGGAGCTAAGCTAACAGAGGTAGCAACCTAGCTACAACCGGAGTTAACTGTGCACAACACCAGAGCTTCTGAGTCAGAGATACGCCGGGCTGACCGCTGGGTAAAACCGGGTGGAACACAGAGGTCTCCGAGAGCTCCACAAGCCGATAGTGGGAACCCAGCTCCACCAACATGTTATATTTCAACCCATTTTCTAAAGTGCAGCATTATGTTAAATGCACTGGGTTTTACCCTATTACATTTAAATGTCATGGTTAAACAGTACATGTTAAAATCTAAGCTCAGCTCGGCAGTGACCTAAATACATAAATATAATTTTACTTACCGAAAACAATGAAGTGGAGACTCCTTGGACGCTCTATTAGTGCAATTAATGCCACAGCAAGTCATTTTGTCCAACAATTGCACAATAATATCCAAACAAGAATACACAAATGCTGAAAATTACCGAACAGTTTTCAGGCGAGGCCGAGGCTCTACTGAGGCCTTTCCACGGAGCTAGCTCTGTGGTCACGTGGGTCTGATGCTCATTAATTATACAGAATTTTAGGCTTTTAATACACTTAAACAGAAGAGTGAGAAAAAAATTCACCCCCCTCAGAGTTGTCATGAGTGTAAACTAGATCATTTAAACCAAAAACATGTTTTGGTACCAGGCTGTAAACATGTTTATTTCTGCTGTGAAATTGGTATTTTTAACATGGGAGTCAATGAGGATTTGCTCGCTTCTGACACCATCCCCTAGTGGATGAGGGTGGAACTGCAATTGTTGTCACTTCAGCGTTGGCCTCAATTCCAGACCCGCATTGTGGGGGCTTGGTTAGAAGATCCAACGTGCTTCAAGCTGCCACCATTAACGTCATCTTTCAAAACAAAACGACTTGAGTCAAATTCAGTGGACGAAACAATCCTCTCTTTTTCCTATTTATTGGTTTTTACTTTTTCTAAATAAAAAACTGACGCTCACTTCAGCAAAAAAAATTTAAAAAAAGATCAATTCTTGTTTATGTATTTTATTCTGAAACAGACATAATTCCATGGATCAGTCAGTGTTTTTCTATTTAAACTCCAGCTCACTTAAAACGGTCTCACACATTAACTCTGATCATCCAAAACGTTAGAGACACTTAAAGGATCAGCCCCGACGTGCTGGGAACAAAATCAAACCCCAGCCCGCAAACACAAGATTCACCACTCATTGTGCAGGCTCTTGTTCTGAAGGGCTCTCCTGCTGCTGCTGATGCTTCTGGATCATCTGGCTGCAGGAATAAAGTTTGTTCTGTGAACTCAGTCAGCTGTGAGATATTTATGACTGAGGGACGCTCCTGCTGTCTGTTCCCAGGCCCCGCTCTCTCTCTCCCATGTTTCCCACAAGCTCTGTCTATGTCTCTCGCCCGCCCTTCCTTCTTTCTCACACTCCCCCTCCCTCCTCTTCCTCGTTCCCTGGCCCGGTCATGTGATACTGGGCACCCAGCCGGCTCCCACACACTAACGCATACAGCGGTGTTCGGTTTCTGCAGCAGTTGGGTGTTTGTTGTGCGGAGATCAGAGAGACGCTTTACTGCTGGGAAACTGGAAGTGGCTCGCAACGATGAAGAATCATTTCTAATTCTGCTGCTGCAAAATGAGCTGGAAGCAGTAAATCAGCCGGATCTCAGAGCTGGAAGCATCCAGTCACATGGTCAGGATTCTGCAGGAAGACACGCTTTGGTTTTTGTCTCTGCAGATTAAAAGTCTCGCTGCAGGATAATTAAGCAGCAAGCAACAACGGCTGAATAAAAGCTGCGGTGATGGCTGCTGATGCTCTCCTAAAGGAAGAACGAAAACGTATCTGGAGACACGTCTGCAGAGTCTCTGACCTCACAGAGAAGCTGCCTTGCTCCCACGGTGGGTGTTGGTGGAAGACACCTTAGGGAGGAAATGTGCAAGGACAGCACAAACATTATTTATACTCAACTATAGTGCTCTTTGCCCACGACTAAGTTAACCAAAGCGGTACAATGTAAGCAACAAAAATCCTATGAATAAATAAAATACAGAAAAAAGTCCCAAAGCCAACAACTCATCCTGTATTAAAAGCCGCTGCGAACAAATGAGTCTTTAAGAGCCATTTAAAATCAGAAATAGATGGTGCCTGTCTAATGTGCAGTGGTGCTTAGTTCCATGGTGTCCCACAAGGTTCTGTGCTGGGGCCTCTGCTCTTCCTCCTCCTATCTGCTTCCTCTTCAGTACATCCTGAGCTCCTTCAAAGGAATCTCCTACCATCTTTATGCAGATGACATCCAACTGTACATCTCCTTTAAGCCCCATGAGATGTCTAAGCTGCAGCTGTTCCACACCTGCTTAGACTCTATCAAAACCTGGATGGTGGGAGCTTTCTTCAGCTGAATGAAGATAAGACTGAGATCCTCATATGTGCCCCAGACAAGCTGGTTCCCAAAGTCAGAGACTCTCTTGGTCAGCTTGCTTCCCACACCAAACCTTCCGTCAGGTCCTTCTTCCAGCTCAGGAACGTTGCTAAGCTGAGTCCCATTCTGTCCCGCTCTGAACTTGAGACAGTTCTCCACACCTTCATCTCCTCACGCTTAAGCCGGGCGTACACTGTGCGACTTTTTCACTTTTTTGAGCCGATTTTCCAGTCGTGCGAGAAGCCACGACATCGGGGCGAGTTTTGCGCCGAGCGGTCGTGTAGTGTACAGGGGGTTACGAGAGGCGATTAACACCACGTGACCAGCCGCCGATCAGCAGTCGTGAGGTCGCAGGGACTTCTGGTGTGTTTAATATTTCGCTCGTCCCTCGTGAGGGTATCGCACTGTTGAAGCGGCGCTGCGAGCAGCTGCGAGCAGCTACGATCCAAAAAGTATCAGAACCGCTCACGGCGCATGCGCAATCCTGCATCAACACCGCTCACCCGCTATTTCCCTAATAACACACGCTGTTCGTTTTTGTTTCTACACGTTTTTTTACTCACAAAGATTGTCAAGAAAGCGTGTTTGTCGTGTTCATGTCAAATTAAACTGATCACAAAACACAGATTTACTTTCTTTATTTCGTTTTCCTCATCCAACCCCCATAAATCCCTGTGTGTCCTCCTGCAGCACTCCCGAAGGACAACAGGCAAGACAAAAAGTCTGACGTGTTGAGTAAAAACTGCTATTTTTAGCACATTTTTAGGGCCGACGTGTTGCTACCAGACGTACAGTGTGAGCAGTCAGGTCGCATGCGAGAACTGGGTCGTGCAGTGTGAGCACATGACTCGTGAGATCTGCTCTGCGAGGAAGTCGTACAGTTTGAGCTGAAGCTGAACGCTGCGAGTGAAAAAGTCGCACAGAGTCCGCCCGGCTTTAGACTACTGTAACTCTCTTTTCACGTGTCTGAGCAGAACCTCCCTGAACCGTCTACAGGTGGTTCAGAACGCCTGTGCTCGGCTTCTGACCAAGTCCTCCAAACACACCCACATCACCCCGCTTCTCCTCCAGCTTCACTGGCTGCCAGTCAACTTCAGGGTTCATTTCAAGATCCTGGTTCTGGTCTATAGGGCCTTACATGGACAAGCACCATCTTACATTGGTGATCTTCTTAGTCCCTACACCCCCAGCAGGTCCCTGAGGTCCAGTGATCAAAGCCTACTGGTTGTGCAGCACCAGGCTAAAGGTCAAAGGTGACAGATCATTTGCTTCTGTGTCCCCCAGACTCTGGGACTCTCCCCCTGAGCCTGAGATCAGTGGACTCAGTGGTCTCCTTTAAAAAGCAGCTGAAGACTCACTTGTTCAAACTGGCTTTTGTATGACCTTCTTCACCTCTCTCTCTTTATTCTGCTCTCCCCACCTATCCCACCTTCCTCAGGATCCACTGATTTCCCTCTTTCCTGTTCACTCTCTCTCTTTCTTAACATTTTTTTTTATCACAATTGTCCATTTTTGCTCATTTTAAATATATTTTTAAACATTTTCTAAATTCTTCATTATATTTTTATATTTTTTTGTTTTTGTGAAGCGCCTCGTGATTTTTGTCTTGAGAGGCGCTATAGAAGTGATATTTTCTTCCTCTTCTTCTTCTTCATAGTTCAGGTGCCACTGCGACAGCTCAATCCCCGATGCACTTCTTTCGAGTCCTGGGCACACGCAGAAGGTCTGCTGCTCTGAGTGAAGAAGTAAGGTGCAGACCAGGAGCAACACCAGACAAGCATTTAGAAACATAGCAGCAGCTTAAAATGGATCTGGTATTGAACAGGTAGCCAGCGTAGTGACCTCACGTAGGGGTCATGGGCTTGGATTTGTGAGCGCCTGTCAAGAGACGTGCAGCTGAGTTTTGAATATGCTGCATTCAATAAATCAATGAGCTACTCATCCCAAAATACTGCAGTAATCTAGACGGGTAGCCACAAAAGCATGACTTGTCGTTTCAAACGAAGAGCGGCTGACTCTGACTGGATCTGGCTATCAAGCCAGGATCTAAATTAAAATCAAGGTTTATAATTTCCTGCTTGTGGCATTGACTCAAATCACCCAAATCTACAAGAGGGGTACCAGCAGAACGAGGCGCAGACACCATCAAACCCAGAGGGAGCAAAGACAACAAAAACAGGAGTGATCCCAGAATGGAACCCTGTGGAGCCCCAAAGGACAGAGGACTCGTAATCCTCTAAACTCACCCAAAGGTTCTGTCCTTTAAATATGGCCTAAACCATTCCAAAGCCACGCCTTTTATCCCGATGCAGTTTTCCAAGCAAGAAACTAAAATGTTGTGGTTCACCGTGTTGAACGCAGCAGTTAGCAAGATTAGAACCACGGTGTCACCAGAGTTACACGCTAAAAACATTTCCTTCTAAACTCTTAAAAGGGCTGTCTCAGTAAGTCTTACATTGCTGCTCAAATTGCCTTGTTTTATTCTTTTTATTCTTTTTTATTGAAAATTGTTTGCAATTTTAATCTGTTTTCTGTTTAATTTATTGTTTATCTCTTTGTATTTTATTTAAATGTACTCTACTTTTTAGAAAGGTTCTATGGACAAGTGTTGCAAATTAGCACGTGTGCTAACACACTAAACAATGCATCTGGTTCGTCCAATGTAATTGATGTGTCCATGTCAAATAAACATCACATCACAGTACTTTGTCTTGCTTTAAAATCGGATTGAAAGGTTTCCTGGACACAGTCAAATGCAGATTTATCGGATTATAAACTATTTGTTCCAAAACAGAAGACTGGAGATTGGTCTGAAACATCTGTGTCAGGCCCAGGTTTCTGAAGAGGTGGCGTCAGGACCGCATGTTTAAACTCTTTGGGAACCAACTCGGTGGTAAGACTGCCATTAATTACGTTCAAACAGAGGACGGCACAATGTGAATGGTTTCCTTGAAGAAGTGAGGAGGAACGGCACCACGGGGGAACCTTTAGGTGATCCACTGCCTCCTGTGACTGATCTCAAGTAACATTCTCACACTAGTGAGAAACCGCCGAGCCGAGAGGAGGAGGGTCAGGTAAAGTAGGGAGAAAGTGAGTTCAAGCCGCTGATATCTTATTAATGAAGAAATGCAAAAACCACTCACACATATCCAAAGTGGGTTCACAACTGGGGTCTGAGGGCCAAATAGCACCTCAGTTTACTTAAGCCTGCCGCACACGCGAGATGAAGCGTCGCCGCCTCCGGCACTTCAAGGTTAGCAAAGTAAGTGTACGGTGGCTGGAAAGATGGGCCAGGCAAGGAGTTTATGCCGATTTACTCCAAGAGACGTGCCTGGAAGACCCAAAATTCTTCCAACAGTACCACCGCCCAGGCCCTTCGATTGGGTAGTGGAAAAAGTGGGCCCATCGATCCACAAGGCACCGTTTTGTTTATTTTTCAGACACGCAGACAGGGCAGGGGGCCACAGCCGAATACATCTTGGGGTCATGTGAGCGGAGAACGCGCTTTGATTGGCCACTAGAATAGTTCAGCTCGGCCGGCAGCTCAGTAGAGCGCACACGGCGACTTTCTACCCCCTGTGAGGCGGGAAATGTCTGACTGGTCAGATATTCGGCTCGGCGTCTCGTGAGACGTAAAACTCAGTGAAAATCAGGCGCGCACAGCGAGCAATCTGCTGAGCAAACAGCCATTCAAGGCTGTTTGCTCAGCAGATTGCTCTCGTCTGCGGCAGGCTTAATGTGTTTATGTTTATTTATTTAGCAGACGCTTTTATCCAAAGCAACGTACAATTTATAACCTATAGGGCATGTTGGGATCTGCGGGGGAAACCGGAGTACCCGGAGGAAACCCACACATGCATGGGGAGAACACGCAACTCCACGCAGAAAGGCCGCAGCCGAGCTTCGAACCTGCAACCTTCGTGCTGCGAGGCAACAGTGCTAACCACTGCGCCACCATGCAGCCCAGGCTTTATATAAAACATGGATTCTGACAATTCACCTGGAAAACCTTCACAAATGAACGTTTTTGCCTCTTTGGCGGCGCTCCAATGACTAATGGTTTATCTTTCTTCCATTTCCTGCAGCAGAACTTCTGACAGCACGGATCAGGCCGGGCTGTTGGCTTCCTAAACGACGCCACAGCACCCAGGACAGTCTGGCAGGCGTTGTCAACAAAACTGTTTATATTTATTTTTACAAATCTTTTAAAAGAAGGTTTTAAAAATAAATAAATGAATTCTTCCTGTTTTAAAAGCCCCCCCGCCCTGATCTGCAGTTCTGCTGCGGAGAAACCGGTTGATCCGAAACCCACCTGGATCCAGACACGCTCCCGGGAAGAGGTGTCAGTTTTCCCACGTCTCTTCCTTCAGGATCAGAGGCGAAACCTGCAGGACGAGTCGAGGATCAGGGGAAACCAGGGGGACAAGTTGGACCGAGAGGAGGACCTGCGGAGGAGTGGAGGGATGATGAAGGGATGTGCTTGAGCTTGTCTCGGAGACTCGGCGTTTCTGCAGGCTGGAGCCGCTCAGCGCCTCTGATTTCTGCTGATCTGCAAAAAAACAGAAAACTAAACATTCAAAGAAAACAAAACAAGACGAGAGCTCAAACTGTGTTAGTAGTCCTGAAAACAAACATGCTGCTGGAATAAATCCACATTAATGTTAGAATAATGACACAGAACCGGTCCCTGCAAATGCCGTGACTAAAGTTTTATTTGCTTTTATTATTTAAAGAGCAAGTCACCCCCAAATCAACTTTTTTCCCCGATAAACTACATAAATGTGTGTCTAATTGTGCTGCAGACACGTGTAGTTAAGTTTTGTACATTAGTGCATTTTAGTTAAAATTGTAATGTTCTGCCTAAAACTGTCAGTGTTGTGCCGTTGTCAGGTAAAAACTCAGCACTGCATTAGAATTTAAATCTGCCACCGCTATTGGCTAAGAGGTATGCTATGATGTAAACTGGTACATTATGATGTCACAATGCCGTTGTGAGCCTGTGTGTGTGTATTTGTTAGTGGCTCCGCCCTCTCGGTCTGCTAGGCAACAGCATTTGTTGCATTTTTCAAACATGAAGAGGGAGTGAAGTAAGTTTCTTGCAGGGGGTGACTTGCTCTTTAAGATGGACAGAAAACTAGGAGTTTGCCAACACCCGATCCTTTAACCCAGAAATGATCCTGGACGAGTCTGAATTCGGAATGAAGTCATGTGACTGTCGTCAAAGATGACTAAAGGAAGGGGAAATGACTTTAAAAACAAACTTCATTTGTTTGTTCAGCACACCTGCACTGGTCTCTAGTCTTCAGGAATTCAACTCAAGGACCTTCACGCGTAAACGTCCCAATAGGGTCACGCTGAGCAGGAGGAGGTAGGACCCAAAACGCAGAAGCCCAGAACAACTCGAGGCAAGAGCCGTTGAAAAAAGGTCAAATCCTTTTATTAAGGTGGCAACAAAAATGACTTAGATGCAGGAATCAAGCCCAGAAAACTGAAAGCCATAAAAGAAAAATAATAATAATAATAATAATAATGAAGCTCAATAATGAGCACAAAGACTAGAACCTGACGAGGGAACAAAACAACGCTGACTCACAACGATGGACGACAAACACTGAGGGACAAGACAGGACTTTTAAACACAGAGGGAGGTGATCAGAGGAACAGGTGACAGGTGTGAGTGATCTGGAGGGAAGGCAGGTGCATTCAGTAAACTAAATGGGGAAAGAACTAAGCAGGAGAACCTGGAGGAGAACCTGGAGGAGGCTGGGGACAGAGGGACACAGAACATTCCAATACAGGCCTGGGGTCTCATTTATCAAGCTAGCTTACGCACAAAACGTTGTCGGAAAACTGCGTAAGCAACTTTCCACGCAAACTTTGGGATTTATGAAAGAAAACTTTGCGGAAACATGTGTGCAACTTTACGTAGACTAAGGACCTGGCTTACACACATGCTGGACATGGAGAGCACCTGCAGCGCTGCTGCTGAGAAGGGTAACATTATGAATCCCAGCAGCGTTATCACAAGAACAAGAAACGTCTCAATGGTTTTAAAAGATCGCAGCAAACATGGCTAGGAAAATGAAAAATGAAGATGAGAACTAAAATAATGAACAAAAGAAAACATGGGAGCCTGAAAAGAAGCTGGTGAAGAAGAAAAGGATGAGCAGAAGGTCCCTTCAAAGCCTGAACAGGTGAGTTTAAAGGAGACCACTGAGTCCACTGATCTCAGGCTCAGGGGGAGAGAGGTCCAGAGTCTGGGGGCCACAGCAGCAGGTGATCTGTCACCTTTGACCTTTAGCCTGGTGCGCTGCTATTACACACAGAGAAGCATCTACTTTCAGGTGACATTATTATTCCAAGAGTTTGGAACACCTTCAGGATACTTTTACTTCCATTAAACGTGGAGTTTTGTGTATAATTCATTTAAAACCTCCATCCTAGTGAACGCTCCATCTCTAAAACTCAACATGATTCCTGTGACTCACTGATCTGTGTTAACACGTTTATTGTTGGTGTGAGTGTTGTTTACAAGTGTGAAACC